TTAAGGGTTATTACTAGAAATGTTCTATGAGAACTAAGTCTCAGTCTAAGGTCTGCCATATTCTTGGTATGTTTTTGTACCTTTAAAAATCTTATGTCCTGGCTGCATACTTTAATTGGGTTGTCCATTTTTGCAAACAGATCAATAACTTCCCACCATGTAACACAGAGATTTTGTCAACACATTGTTCCACATATCAGCATGGCCAGAATTCTTTTCCAAAAGTAAATCTGTGCAAATGGGTAAATTAAATCAAGCTGAGCATGGCAGCAATCTGTGGAGTGCCAGAGGAAGGTCACATTGCTGGCACAGAGAGCCAAGGGCCAGCCAGGAGATACCCGCCTGGCTTGCTCAGTACCCAACCTCAGAAGCTCATGGCAGAGAAATGATCTGCCACATGAAGAACCTAGAAGGAGGCACAGATTTAGTCAGCTACTTTAATGTATGCTAAATAGAATTCCCTTTTGTTCTTAGAGCTGAAGTGAAGAAAAAACACTGTTCTGCAACTGAAGTGAATGGAAAAATGCTAAAAAAGCAAGGATTGGACAAGACTTGTGAGTCACTACACAGCTATCCAAAGGGATACAGAGGTCGGCTACTTGCTAGAATGTGGGCTGAAACAGTCACTGATTTATTTTCCAAGAGTCCCAATAAGAGGCACTCTCAGGGGAGCACAAGACAAGAAACTTTGCCATGATTCCAGCTACAGAGAAATTCTGGCAAACTTGAGAGGCTACAGTAGGAAGTCAAAGCTGTACTCTTAAAGTTCTGAGAATGCAAGCACAGAGCAGGAAAACAATTCAATGGCCTAACTGCTAGGAGAGCTTGAAAGTATTTATTAACATGTATTCTTAGGAAAGATCAAGGTTTGGTATTTGGGACTCCTATTTTATGACTAAGTGTTTATAGACAGCTTTGGACATCCCTCTCTGAATTACAGGCCAGTGGGTATTCCTTGTTAAAAAGGAATAGAGGTAGTTTCATTTACTGCTGTACTCAGAATTCAGCTTCCCACTTTCATTCCACAGAAGTGGTGAATTCCAATTACCATTTTCAGACTAGAGAAAAAGACAGACACGTAGGACTACTTGATGAAATGAAAAATTTAGAAGATGAAATTTGATATAAGCCATCCTTTCTGTGTGGAGTTATGGAGCAGTCTGAACTAGGTTAAATGTAAGAATTAATAATTCTCTTTATTATTTATTTTAAATAAGTTTCTGAAATCTACCTCTAAGGCATTAGATGATTTAATTTAATAACATTGCAATTAAATAAAACACAGTACTTTGGCTAGCTACTACTTTCCTCTTCCATAATCTAAAATTGAAACACTTAATCTGCCTGGCAGAGACATTTTATTTACTGGTATCCCGAGAAGCCACCAAATTCAAGCTGACTCTGAGTAAGTCCTGCAAACCTCCTGGTCTTTGAGGCCCAGCAAGATGACTTTATGTGCAGCTCAGCCACATTACTAACAGGGTGACACAGCTCTGGCAGCTCTAATTTTATCTGCAGCAGATGGAACTACACGTTAAAGAAACACTGACAGAAACCGGGCAGAAATAGTAGAAATTACCTTAAATGACATCATAAAGCACAGGCCCCATATAAAATTAAATGTATAAAGTTTTAAATGAGGAACTGAGATGGAAATACAGCATGTCAGTTTTTTGATTTATGAACAATTTAAGGCTGAAAACAGAACCCTGCAATTTGGGTACTACAAACTGAAGACTTATAGAAGAGATCTAAAGTGATCAAGTCTGTAATTCTATGAAGTCAGCTTTTGTCAATTGATTTTGTCACACTCCTGTCTGCCCCATATTCACCTTGGGCATTATTTTCATTCTCAAAACTCAGTTTTGTGCAATATGAGTTATTTACCTGCTTTATCATCTTTAAGTAGAATGAACAGGAACCATGATTGATTTTCCCTTCTTTGAAACCTTCTGTTCTCAGTAGCATTTTCCCAGTGTTGCTAAAGGGAGGGCTGGACCACAGCAGCCACACTAAAGGTCATCAAGCTGTGGTTGAGAACTTCCTTGGTGTCTCCATTGCTCCATAGACTGCTCTCTGTGCTTGACTCAAATGCCTAGGTTATCACTGATTATTGTTTGATGAGGGTTCTTATTCAGAGGTAAGAAAAATAAAATTAAATCAAAGTTATGACCCAGGTCTCTATCCTGCCATGACTTCAATCTTCATATTTAACCATTAACGTAGAGGTGGAGGTGATGTTTTGCAGGCACAACCTTTTCCCATTGTATGATAATATATGTCACCATCCTATAATATTTTTCATGGTGTATGTATTTTAAATAGGCAAAGTAATAACAAAACTGAATGAAATCACTGTGTCAGATATTGATGTAGTTGAAGAGGAATCACAGAGATATAAGACTGGAAGCCACAGTCCGTCTAGGAAGCCAACCTGGAAAACTTGACTAGTGCTGTGGGTAATGCTGGAGTTTGAACATCTGTATTTTCTTCCAGAAATTAAAAAAACTCACACCCTGGAATTTTTTTAAGCTACATATATCAATGCATGGTCTGAAAATGCTGTGAGCTTTTACACGGTATTTTCTGTCTGCTTTTTAAACTAACCTCACTTTAAGTATAGACATGACCCTTCATTTTTGTCTAGAAAAGATGACTAATAGGATTCTAGTTAGAAATGTGCAGTTTAAAAAACATTATCCTGTGCTTTGCATCAACTGTCTACACCAAGATGGGAAATATTAATCATTGTAGCAGTCTGCCACACACAAATAGATTAATTTAACAGATGTATGATTTAAGTAAAACTCTGAGCTCATGATGAAAAATTTGGAGTAAATCCAGTACAAGAAAAATAAAGCACAGAACTTATTAAATGAAGAAATGTGAGAAAGAATTGTGCTAATCATTCTTCTTATTCTTGCCTTCTTAGGAGGACACCATGCTGGGCAAGCCTGGGGAAGGAGAGGATCAGTTTGCCCCCTGAGGAAAAAATCGGGAAGAAGAGATTCATCTGCCCTCACCTCTGGAAAGCTGAGTCCTGCTCAGTCATTACTTGCACACAAGAAGAGAAAGAGTGCGTGTAAAAATCCTAGACAATGGCTCAGTGCCTACAAAGAGGCATTCTTCTGTCTGACTTACACTGCTGGTTAGATTTATGATCTGAGACACAAGTAGATCACTTTGCATGAAAGTCAAAAGGTTATTCTTTTCTAGCTTGATGGAAAAACCTACAGAAACAGATAAAAAGTTCTTAAACTTCGATAGTATTTGGATCTGTGTCACTGAAGTAGAAGATGACAACTTTTTTCCCCTGGATAAAACACATAAAATCCATACAAATGAAATCTCTTCAATTTTTCGGTAGATCAGGACAAAAGTCCTTAAAGAAAGACAATCCTTTTTAGTACTCAAGATATTACTTCATCTCCCAAAACATTATTAACATACCATTTCTGTAACATCAGTCGGTCTTACTACCACCAATCAGGAAAATTTCAGTAGAGTATTTAATTTGCAGTCTTACTACACAGCTAGAAATACACTGACAGGCTGTAATTCTTCAAGAATTATAAGCTATAATGTATGCTGTGGCTACTTTTTGCCTTCTACATATTTCTAAAATAGAACAGTATTTCCATTTATTAACCAAGTTATTACAGCTTTAACATATTTTAAATTTCTCCTGTCAGAGTACAATCAAACAACTGATGACTTAATTTTATTTTGTGGAAGGCCTTAGAAATACCAGGCATAAATAAAAAAAATAAAGTTTATGTCATAACAGCATTATGGTGAGAACAGGAAAGAGCAAGAGAGAAGCGAGTTTAACAGGTGGGAATTCAAATCACAGACAGAACTACAAAGTAATAAGAATATAGGATAATTAAGCAATATAAAACAAGAAATAATCTCCTGGCTAAATATTATTGAGTATTTGAGGTACCTCCAGGTTGACAGGAATTATAAAGGTGGCCCCAGGTAAGGGTTGGGGTTTGGGGCAGGGGTAAGGAGTTTCTTCTTGTCAGGATAGTTTAGGAAACAGTGTATGAAATACAGCTTTTAAATGGACAGTACTAACATCCAGATCCTCTCTTACTCATAGCTGCTTATTCCAACCTAGAAACTAATTTGAAAACAGGAGTGTCAGAGAAAATATCTGTACTGATTAGAACTGAATTAAATTAGTACTACGAAATGGAGTACAAGCAGGATTAATTTGGAGGCAAACATCCTAGCAGCCTCTATAACTGACAAAACACTTTGTACTTTCCCTGCAAAAAAATGGGCTTTTGAATGCAAGACAAATGGAGTTGTCATTGAGGTGAGTTTGCAAAAGGTGTGTAACGACGCCCATAACATGATATAGACTTATTCTTCTTTGCATGTTTGTTTGTTTGTTGAGCTTGGTCTTCCGTTGGTCTTCCTCTGACACACACAAAAAAAGGACAGAAATCTTGATATTTGCCAAAAGGCCCAAGTTTGTGGGAATTGTCACTTCTAAAAAGCAAATATAAAAGACCTGATACAAATATTCACATAAATTCACATAAAAGGTCAAAGTCAATTGTTAGTCACTGTCTCCTTTTAGAACATGTCAGTATGAAAGAGCACCTGCTAATACTTCAACATTTTCTAAAGTTCCAGTGTTCCCATTCCTTCATGTCCTTTTGCTCTGCATTTAGATCCTGGGGTATGGCAGGGTGGGGAGTACCCTCTACTCTTATTTTTGATAGCCATTATCCTGTTTTTTTATGGTAATATGAAAAAAGAGAGATAAGAATGAAATACATTTCTAGCTAAGACCCCTTTCTTATTTCTACTACAAATCTCACTTAGGAGAATAACAGGAAACTTCCAGTTCATTCCTGTGTTCTCTTCAAATTTAATCTATTTCAACTCTGTGGTCTAGATATGTTTTCATACTTTCTCTTGTTTTTTTCCAGTAATTTATTCTAATACAAACATTAGTTCAGCATTCCTTTCAATTAGAGCAACGTTCCAATTCTCTCACAGTCGGTATTCTCTCTTACCAAAGAGATTTCTTTTCTTCAGTATTACTAAGCTCAAGTTACTGGTTTGCTTTTCTTCACCTTCTCCCTCCTCTGAGGACCTAAGGCAAAATGCAATTGTATTAATTGATAGTAGAAAATATCAATTTTATAATGGCAATAGTAGAAAAAATTATCAAGATGTCTTAAGCAACAAGATATCAATCACATTAGATCTTAAGCACTTAAATTATATATATATGTGTGTGTGTGTGTGTATATATACGTATATATATATGTATAACCCAAGGTACTGCTTGCTGTATTCCCCTCAGTGATCAGAGATGAACAGAAACCTCTAGAGGCAATTCAAGTCAGAGACAGGTTTTACTTTGGTTCACTAAAATGACTTCAAAACAGATTTGTATACTCCCCTTGAAACTGAGGGTGTCAGTCAAGAAATGAACCCTGAGTTGTGACTCTCCACTATGTAGGAATGCCATCCTTTACCAGCAGTGCTGGCCAAACACGCTGGCACATCACTGTGGCTATGAAAAGCGAAGCCAGCCAGCATCTGCTTCCATTACATAGAGTAACTTTTCCCTGGAAAAGTTATGTCAAAAGTTCTTTCAGCCCATAGATCACAACAAAAAAAAATAAAATTCCCTACAATCCTCCCAAAGATGAAACACAGAACCTGACCCAGAAATCAGATTCAATCACTGGCCTCAAAACATCTAGTTTTGCTAGTTTATCCAAACTCCTTTTCTCGCATACACACACTCCAATGGGTTGAGTTGGCATCATTTGTGTCATTCATTACATCACGGACTATTATTCACTTAAAATAATGACCACTTATTTCTTTATGTTATGAGGCATCTTGGTAAAGCTAATACATTTATGTTGGTCTGCTCTTTTTAATCAATGTCTAGTAAAAATAATTTGCCTGTAAACAATTAGCACAACATAAATGCAAAATCTGTGAAGATTTCCACAGGTTGCACTTTTAGTTACAGCAGCTGGAGGTAAAATACAATAGAACTGGCTATATAACAACAGTTCATATTAACTGAGCAAAATGGCTGTTGTTTTGTTGATACAATTTATCAAATCATTTTTTTAAGAACTTATTTTCATTTTTAAAAAACCCCTTAATCAAAAAGCAGCTCTCATCTCTAATTCAGTTGCAGGCTCCTCAGAAGTAGGCTCTCACCATCCAGCCTGTTGAGGCACTTGCAGCCCCTGGGGCAGAGGGGACACACAGACATGTCCGGCCCCATGGCCGGTTAGCACAGACCAACACTGACATCTGGTGCCAGCAGAGCCATTTTACACGGGCACAAAGGTCTCACTTGACTCCTCACTGAAGAGTCGCTAGTTTGACACTAAGATAAATCAGCATCTCCTGTTCAGCACCAAAGCACAGCAGAGTCTGACTACAGGGAAAGGAAATGATACAGTAAAAATGCCAGGGACATACTTAAAACAGGAGAAGAAAGCAAGAGAAAATTAATATTATTTTTTCTGTAATGCACTTTTTCCAAATTGGTGCTATTGGCTGTCATGTCACAAGACAATTCCAGCTGCTGCTTTAATTACAGATTCCCATTTTAGTGAGAACAGTATCAAGATAATCTGTGCCAGGATGAGCAGAGCTTGCCCACTAGAAAAAGCACAAGTATTGTTTCATTCTGAAATCAAGGGCTTAGACTGTGGCTGGCATGAGTTTACTTTGCTTGAATGGCTACACCCACTATGTGCCCTATTTTGTGGGCAGGAGAATTCCTCTGTGCCAGCACTTTTTGGCTACTTGCCCAGAAAAAACTGTCCCTAGGCAATGGAGCATTGAGCCCAATCTGTATCAATGAGCCTAGCACAGAAAGGGTGTGGGGTGCAATCTTTATATGCACACGTAATGTCCACTTCCTTGTAGGCCACAGCCTTTCACTACCATGAATATCAAAGACAGGCTGAGACACCAGAGAAGATGATCCAAATGGTATTTGAGACTTTTTTCAAGACTATGAAGAGCCAATTACAACAGAGTACGACTGTCTTACCTTCTAAGAAGCTAAACTTGTACACTGCCCTTAGTTCTGCTACCAGCTGCTAGCTTGAATACATCTGAGAGAGATGCAAAAACCTGCCCCAAATATAAGCCAACCTCGCTATTCTCTCATGCAAGTAGCCAGCAGAGAATTATTTCCAAAATGTAGTTGTTCCATACAGCAAAATACTTTGCAACATGTCCTTGTTCCCATAAGGCACTCTGCAGCCAGCAAACTCTTGTAATAATGTTATTTGCAAGCACAGACTTGGAAAAAATGGCTTTTTATTATTTCATCTTTGTGCCAGTGCAGACGGCATCCTGACTTAACAGATGTTTCTTATTTCTTTTTTTCTAAACTGCACTTTGGTATTTCTAGAATTGAAGGTTTTACACAAAGAGGTTTCTGTTACCTTTAGAAATCCAGTTTAACGCTGCCTCAAAAATTCATGATTACACAAGTAAAGCCTGATTGAGAGAAACACACCAAGCCTCCATCCAAAGAGAACACTTTGAATAACTTTTGTAACCCCACATCTCTAAAAAACATGGAAACAGTAATAAGCTCTGCAAGTTCCATGAATGGAAAAGCACTAGTTTGTAAATTTTTGAGGTTTTGGAAGATAGAGTTGTGCTCATGTTTTTCCTTTGGTTTTATTTTTTTCTTTGTTTTTGTGGTTTTTTAATTTCATAATTGAGACAGACAGAAATACTGAAATCCCAGAACCATATAGGGAACTATATTTCATAGGGAAAAACAAAATTCAGGATTTTGAGCGCATGTGCAGGGAAGGAGGTGCAATAGCATGACAAAATGCCTGATCAGTGCCAAGCATTTTTGATTGGTTTACACCTCTTAATTTCACCATCTTAATTAAGGTTTCAAGAGCTTTATTTAAGTACCACAGCTACTTCAGCAGGTGCACGGCCAAGGTTTGTGATTTTCCTGCTTGCAGGAGATGCCAGGACATTTCAGTTCTCTAATCCCTAACAAGCAGCAGCTTCTGCTATATGGAAATATGAGCAAGTATAGAATGCACATGGTTTATAGCACCTTATTTTACTGACTGCTTTTGCCCCACAAGAATTTCACTTAAATTATGGATGGTCTCTAAGCCCAACATTAGGAGTGTGTATTACTTTTGAAAAATAACTGTAAACCAAAGAATGTGAAAAACAAGGTGAAACTCTCCTCTAGATAAGACAGAAGGAATTCACTGTGGGAGGGGAATTAAAGCAATTCAAGCCCAGTAGCAGACAGTTGGGCAATGAAACAATGGCAAATAAAGTTCCCACAGCCACTGCAAAAGCTCACCATACAGTTTACAATTTAAAATCACGCTACATCGCAGTAAAGACTGTCCTTTTTGGCTTAATTTCTGACTCACTTTCAGATTTTCATCATCAGACTAACAGCTTATTCAACCAGAATTGATTTTTTTTTCATATTTACTGGCCTGCAATACCAACAGCAGTTTGGTGCAGCTGCTTTACTAGTTGGCTAACTACAGAATATTGCAGTTGCATGCTCAGTGCCAAAAGAAAATTCATCTTTTTGAATTATGCCCTTACTAACTGCTAATTAACTTCTGTATCTTTACATCTCCCACTAAATACCGCCAAGGTGAAACCAGGTTCCCTGTGATACAACCTACAAACATAGTGAAACCAAGCCTCCCTACAATTTCAAAACTCGACATTATTGCATGACAGTAATAATGCATTGAACTACAAATTCACATTTGTTTTCATATTCTTGCAATATAACATTTATATTTTTCTTCTGCCAGTACGTGTGAAAATTCAGGACCTATCATTATACCATTTTCAATTTCAGCAATCTCTCTGTAGTAAATAATTATCTGTCTGACTCTAAAACTTCAATGTAGTTATTTCTGACTTCTTTAAGCTCTCAGTCATGCTCTTCTTTCTCCTTTTCCCACCCTTTCCATAGTTAGGACAAAGAATTTCCTGACATGCCCTTAGAAACCCAGTCTCTAGAAAACAACTGTAAGGACTAGAGAGGGGTTGGCATTCTCCCACAGACACTTCCAAAACATCCTCAGTTGGGGTCTAATACTACACAGCTTCCAGATTTCAAATAAACCCACTATAAAAAAAGAATGGTTTCTACAACAAGAGCTACGAATTTAATGAATACTAAATCGATTCCTGTGTACAATATCAGCAAGTGTCTCTCTTTGAAGAATTGCTATTCACAGAAGCTGTCCAAGCTTATTCCTCCTCCCAGCCCTTCTGATCACAGTAAGTGTAACACATATTCAACTACCAGAATAAACATTTCTTCACTCGTCTTGTATCTCCTCCTTAGTCTGCTAAAAAACAAGAGCTTTCCCTCTTACCAACAGAAATTTGCACAAAATTTTTGCTTTTGTGTGACCTTTCCTATCCAGCATAGTTTGGAACACCAAGCTGGCAGTCTCTGATCCCCCTGCATTGGCTGCTCTCCCAGGTGCAGCAAACACCTCCCCAGCAGCTCCAGGAAAGGTGACAGCCATGGGATGGCCCCAGAAGCTGCAGTCTGCCCCAGGACGGGTTTGTTCCTATGAAAAGGCACAACGCCAGAGTGCAAAGTTTGCCCTTCCCAGCAGCCACTGGCATGAAGGCCTCGCCAAGGAAAGGTTTGAGTTTCCACTACTGACAACCAGAACCCTTTCAACAGGCACTGTGAAAGCAAGACAGGGATTGCTGCTCCCCCTGCAGTCTCTACAGTGGGACAACTGACTTCTTATTAAGAAGTTATTAAACATGATACACATGTAGTATCTAAAAAGGTTTCTAGGAAAAATAATAATCTTACTGAGACCAGCTTCAGTCTGCTGTGCTTATTTTTTAGCAGTTTTACCAATTTCAGTCAAGCCTGAGATACATATATATAGATGATATATAGACATATAGACATATAGATATATAGATATATAGATATATAGGTATATAGATATATAGATATATATAGATATATAGATATATAGATATATAGATATATAGATATATAGATATATAGATATATAGATATATAGATATAAAACAAAACCAATGAAGTCTTCTATT